CCATCGGGGCTCCCTGTGTGCCTGGACTGTGCCCTGCCTCTGACATCACGGCTGTCACTGAATGAGACGAGGACAGCACAGGAGACAGGAGGATCAGGGCTTTGGCCTCCGGGAGCGCAGGACAGGGCAGCAACACCTGCAAGCTTCAGGGAGTGTGCTGGAGTTAGGTGTGGGGATCTGGGGGCTGCGGCTGCAGTGCGTGAGGGCATGGAGTGGCCCTGAGCGGCCCTATGTTTCAAAGGGGGCAGATGGGGCCCAGGACAAAGTGAAAATGAGGGGCCCCTTGTTCACAATTACTGAGAATTTCGAGACAGGGTTAGCAATGCAAGCCCACCCCAAGGGCTCCCAGGAAGCCAGTCCTGATTAAGCCCGTCCTGGCAACTGCGAGGAAGCAGGCCAGACGAGAGGAGGACCTCGATTCTGGGCTCAGGCGTGCCCTGCTGAGAAACCGAGGCAGCCCCACGGGGGGTGAGGGGGAGCTACCATAGAGTGCCCAGGGAGAGCTGGGACTTTGCCATTGCTCTGGGGAGGACGATGCAGGAAGGGGGAGAGGAGAGAGGGAAGCTCGCGCAGCCAGGCAGCTCTCAGGCGCGCTCTCCCACACCTGTCTGTTCTAAGGAGTTCTCACAATGTCAAGTGGAAATTTACCCAAGCACAGTCTGGAGTCAAAACTCCTGTGAAATGTGCGATGTCACAGCCGGACGTTTCTGTGCTGTAAGGCTTCTCATAGTCTTTAGTAAATTACTTAGGAAAACCTTTGAGAGGGAGGCCCTGTAGGAGCGCCTTCCCAAACTTGCTGAGCACAGAACCCCTTCCCAGGGAAGCGCGGCTTCAGGTGCGGCTGAAGTGCGGTGCTGCCCTGGAAGCATCTCTAAAACACTTTTGGAGTCTGTAAAAGCCTCGCTGGCCACTGCCTCTGAGAAGAGATGGCGAACAAATCCCAGCTTGCTTGCCGGCCTCAGACCGCGGCTTCCCCGAGAGCCACGCCAAGGACTCTGAGGCTGTCCTGGCTAGCAGGGAGGCACTGTGTGACCACTGGCAAGGCCTGCCGAGGGCCGGGAGGGGACTGCTCCTGAGCGCGGTCCCTGTCCTGGAGAGAACCACTAAGTACACCTCGAGACACGGCCGGGCACGGCCCAGGCCCAGGGCATCGCGGGTACAGACCTGGTGCGCTGGGACGTTAAAGCCCGCCGACC